GCCGGAGTTAGTTTGTAACAGAAAAAGTGTGACGATTGCAGGAGAGCCTAAATCTAAAAATGTATTGTTTTCCAGAAAGCACAATCAAATAACCCTCTCTGGGTTCTTCGCAGAACAAAAGTCAGGAAATAAATAATAACACTATTAATGAAATAAATAATAACCAAATAACCCTCTCTGGGTTCTTCACAGAAAAAAATCCAGGAAATAACACTATTTATGAAATAAATACCGTATTTTCTGGACTATAAGCCGCAGATTTCTCTGCCGCTCCAGGTTTTCCACAGCGATGCAGCAGCAGCAGGGGGGCGGACAGCCAAAGTTTGAGTCATAACAGGTCAACTGAATATCACATTTATTAGGGTTGAAAAATAAAAAGTTGCCATGTTTAGATTTAACTGAACTGATTACGGTAGTTTCCGAACGGTAACTGTAAAAGTGTTGATCCTTCGTGTCTGCTACTAGCATGTGCTAAATGAACATGAGCTCTTCCTTCTTCTTCTTCGTCTTTAGATTTCAACGGCAGCTTGCACCCATTATTGTTGCACTACTGCCATCTATTGGATCCTAATATCTATACCTCAAATTCTCATAATAATCCCAGTATTATTTAAAAAAACAAAAAATCTTCTTTTTCCCCTCAATGCTATTTAACTGATCAAAATTCTCAAATTTCAATTCCCTATTAAAACCTAATTCTGTTTTAATGGGCTCTTCTTTTATTTCCAATTTTGACTTCCAATGATTCACTTCCTGCTAAAGAGCCCCCTGGTGGTTGAAGAAAAATCCAAATGTAAGCTGCACCGGGCTATAAACTGCATGGTTCAAAGCTTAGGAAAAAAGTAGCGGCTTATAGACCGGAAAATACGGTATATGAAAAAAAAATCTAAATGCTCTCTGGTATTGTTCAGGGGGCCGGACCAAATGTGGAGGCGGGCCGGATCTGGCCCGCGGGCCGTAGTTTGGGGACCGCTGATCTAGAGAGTTTATACTGACAATGTCCCTTAAAGTACTGTGCAGTGACGCTTTCAAAGGCCAACCCATACACCCAAATCAAAAGCTGTGTCTGCCTTCACACCACTGCCAGTTGGACTCTGCCAGTGTTACAACTTTTCACAGATTCTATTTGTGTGGTTCATGGGGAGGATGTCTGGTTTAGGAACCTAAGGGTCTCATAATTACCTCTTGCAGATGATGTGGCATCTTTACCGCACCCTGAGGCATTTCTCAGCCATTTGTATGAGTCAGCTCCTCTCAATCTGCAGCCATAGTTTTCAAAAAAGGTGGATTTACTCCCTCCAGTTCATTCTTTGTCTAAAATGGACAAGTTTAAGTACTGAAAAATGGGTGCTGTTCCAGTATGTCGTAGTAAAGAAAGACATGAGCCAAAACAGTAAAGTTCTCTATTTAAAGATCTGTTTACCGACAGTAAACATACCTGGGAAACAGAAATGGGAAGCAGAATATAACTTTCTATTAAAGCTGCAAAATTTTAACCAAGATTGGTTCTGAATTCTCCAAAGAGTTCTTCACCACAAAGGAAATAATAACAATGTATTCCATGTGTTTTTAACAGTTTCATCCAGCTTGTTATAAATCCAGATGCAGGTTTTCTAAGTTTACTTAGGGCTCATCTAGAGAATAAACAATTTATCTCATATCCAACAGTAGGAGACCAGAAAACTGCAGGAAGAATGACATCAATGACTTGCCACAGATTGCATTTCTACATGGGGTCTGAACTCCCTTACTGACTCTAATGACTTGGATCTATTCTCTAAAGCAAAGTGCAGGCTTGTTGAAGCATTGGCTCACTTCGGAAGAAGAGGGTAAAGCTGTGAGCTGCAAGAGGTAGCAGAGTAATTCTACTCAGCTGCTGCTTGTTGAATTTCCCAGAAGTGGAAATGCATTTGCAAATGATAGCTCTTGCCATGTACTTTCACACATTTTCTATTCTTCATTGTCTCTTTTCATGCCTGTTATTCCTCTCAGTTTATCTCTGTCTTTGTTTAGTGTCTCTCACCCTCTCGGCTCCCGGGGCTGGAGCTCAGTGGCAACTGTAGCGTAATGTAATGCGAGAAAGTGGAACCTGTGAGTGCTCGGAAGAGAGCCAAGTAAACATCCTCCCCCTCTCAGTCCTGGCATGACCAGTTCCAAAACGGATATTTATTCCCAGTTAATTAAGCTGCACCACAGTAGAGGTAGAACTGACAAATTAAAGTTCAGAATTAGAATTAGAGTGTAGAACAGAAAATAATCATGTTTCTCTTGGTGGAAAAAGTTCTACAAAGAAGTCTCAAAGAGCATTTTGAATCAAAAAGTCAAAGATGGAAATATGTATGCTGTCTTAAAATGTTATGGCTTTAAAATTGGGCGTTTCACTTACAAAGTGTCTATATGTTTTTATCCGTCACTGTAGCTAACCAAATGTGCATTCCACTATAAATGATAAAGATTGGGGAAATTTGTAAAACCATGTTAATGCCACGCAAATTAAAGTATTTTTAAAAAGGTTGGTTTGTTTGGTTTTAAATGTTTGCAAAACTGAATTTGCACATGCTTCTCATTCTGAAAAAAGGCAGAGTTGTGCCCATCTTCACCCAGCAAACAGTGTTTTTTGCATTGACATAATTTATATGGAAAGTATTTGCAGCATTTCACTTTATGCTACAGCCTTATTCCAAGTTGTATTAAGTTAATTTCTTTATCCAAAATTCTAACAGCAAATACTCCACTATGGCAATGTCAAAAAAAGATTTTTGAGTGCTTTGCAAAGTTATTAATAATTAAAAAAAAAAACAAGAAATCAAATTGATGTAAGTATTCACAGCCTTTCCTTAATACTTTGCTGATCCACCTTTGGATCAACAGCCTCAAGTCTGTTTGAATCTGAAGCCACAAGCTTAGCACACATGTAGGCAGCTTTATCCATTCTGCTTTGCAGTTCTTTTCCAGCTCCACCAGTTAGGATGGGAGATGTTTGAATCAACACAAACTGGCTTCTGACACAAATACAGTTTTATGATGAACATCTAACAAGCTACAAGTTCATGAGAATCTGAGCATCTTCTCTGTTTCACTAAGTAACTTTAGTGACCTAACAATGAAAACAGCCTCAATTGTTTGAAAGACCATTTGGCTGCAATTTTTGGCAAACATTATGTGTGTTGTATTTTTCACAAAGCTCAATTCTGAGAGACAAAGAATGCATGAGCCTTCATATACAGTAGTATAGTTTAGTGTCTATTTTTAATTTGAAATGAAGCTTGAAAAGTAATTTCGTAAATTATACCAAAAAAGCAAAACGGATTTAAAAGCAAATTACCAAAGACAGTCCGAGCTGGAACTGATTCCTTGTTAATCCAGAAGGAAACTTGTGCCAGAATGACAGTCATTATGCAGGGAATGTAGGTCTGAATCAGGAAGAAACCCATTTTCCTTTGAAGATGGAAGTGGACAGTCATTATGACATATTCACCTGCAAGAGTTAAACATAAAATCCAAATCATACAAACAGTTCATTTTTACAAGTTTTTTTGTGCAATGTTTCTTAACAACTAAATCTTAAACCCAACATAAAAATGCAGAGATGTTATAACACCTTCCCATAATGTCAAAATGCTGGATATATTATTATTTTTACTGCTCAGTTCCAAACTCACAAATGCTTTTGGAAACACTAATATTACATTTAGAAAGGCTCTTGATACGCAATGTAAAAAAAAAAAAGATCAGTTAAGCATGGGTTATGCCAAATATGAACAAAAAGCTTTCAGATCTAATTAGTGTAATTAGTGAATGAGTTTAGAAGACAAATTTGATGACCTGTGTTGGACTTCAGCCTCTCGCTTGATACAGTCTGGCCAATAAGGTCATACTGCAACAAGCTGGATGATTCCTGTGGGACTTCAACAGAAGATAAAGGTCCTTTCTTCCATGTGTACACAATCTCACTGATGGGGTATGCATCTACGGAGAAGATATGTGAGACCTTTGTTAGAATTTGGTTCTCAAGAAAAAATATACAAACTGTTCATCTAAAATGTCTAAGAATACATGTTAATGATTAAAAGAAGATAAGCTTTCACTATGAGCACTCCTAATGAAACGTAACCCTTGTGTTTACAAATGGGGTCCAACCAACCCCACACCATACCGTATCACTTGTATCATTTGCCTCAGTCTTCGCACGCACAAGAGTTAAAAGTACATGTACTTTGTTTTGCAAAAAGTCAAATTTTCTAAGTATTTTGTAACAAACCAAAGAAGTGCATTACTAAATAGGGAGGAAAATTAGGTTCAAAATTTCAAAGTTTTGAAATTTTGCCATTTTCAGAACAAAATTCTGAAAATGGCAAAAAAAAAAAAAAGTATTCAGTTCTCTTTACTGTGATAACCTTAAATAAAATTCAGTACAACCAGCTGGCTTAAAGTCTCGTCCCAGGTAAACATTTATGAACAAACAGGAAAAGATAAAAGTATCATGGAGACCAACAAACACACAGACTGGTGACTGAAAAAACAGGAGGAAAGTTTAAAACAGGGTTCTAAAATATATAACAATGTTTTAACATCTTAAATTTATCATCTGAAAATGAAAATAGTGTGGCATAACTATAAGGTGAAATAAATTTCTAAAATAATTCCCTAGAAATTTTGCAACTAGCCATGTAGGGGACATAGCAAGAGTGTTGAAGAACATGTTCTGGTTGAATGAGATCAAAACTGAACTTTTTGTCTTCATGTTGAAAACTACATTTGGTGGAAAAGTTGCATTATGACATAGAAAACAAGAACACTGGAAATGGCAGCATCATGCATTAAAAGAGGGAGTTACAGGGCAAACTCAGAAAAAAATATATTTTAAAGAACTTGATACTGGGACAAATGTTCAACAACCAGTCAAACAAACCCTACACAGAGAATAAGAGCTACAATAGGATAATTTGGTTCAAAATATGTTCATGTGTTAGAAATGTGTCCATGTCTACATATGAATTCAGCTGACCCAGAGACAGCTCTAAGTACAGAAAAATACATATGCATCTAATACTTTTAGATTTTTATTTAAAAAAATAGATAAAGAATTATTGTATATCTCTTTTTATTGATTTTTAGAAATTCATACTACTTGGTGTTCTATTCCATTAAATATCTCAAAATTTCATTAACATTTGTAATGATAAAATATGAAAAGTTCAGAGGACATCCATACTTTTGCCAGACACTGCAAACAAACAGGAAGGAGAAACATATTTGAGCTCCAACATTTGATGTTTCAAACTGCAGCCAGAAGACATCTTGTCAAATGGTCAGTTACTATGTGGCAGTGTGATCATTTGAGAGTGACACCATCTGTCAAACCACTGAGACTTAACAAAAGACAAAACTCACAGCTCCCGAATTTGAGTGGGCAGGCATGGCCATCCATTGGGAAGTTCATGAGGCGCATTGGACACTCTGCATTTATAGTTAATCTGTTAGAACAAGGAAAGCTGAAATCAATTTTTCATTTAAACCAACACTGGATAATGGTTTCATCTGGATTTTGCAGCATGGTGCAGTTGTATACATTAGTTAGTACACTGAAACAAAGCATACAAGTATTCAAGATGTGGGAATAAATAAAGAAAAATACCTGCATCCTTCAATCACACTGCATAATAAATGAATAGATTTAATAAACCAAAAATAATAATAGAATAGACGGTCACTAACAAAGGTTGTCTCACAAAGCCCTATTTATAAGAGGAGTATTGATCGCAGGCTCTTATTTTGAAATGTTAGTATTAATAAAGTCTTCATAACTTAAATTGTGTCTGGGTCACAATGACAAATAAGAACATTATTTAAGCATTAAAGGAAAAATATTGTCATACAACATAATTACACCCAACAGTGCTGAACTTGCCATTTCATTAGTTTTAGTTCTGAAAACAACAGCAAATTCATCATTAGCTTTCTTATGAATACTGTTAAAATATATTCTTTTCAATATTATGCATTGTCTTTTCTCATCAGTTAAATATTTCTACTTTACATAAACAGAAACACGATCTGATGATTTCAGTATTTATGCCAAAGCTTTCTTCCTGCCAGCCCTTCAAATACCAGCACTGTAGCTGACCTGTCATGATTAGCATTTAGAAAAAAGTGAAGAAAGAAAACTTAATACAACAGAAAAATATATTGTACATATTTTATCGCGCCAACTTTCATGCACTAGCTTGTTTGGTGAGACATGTTGATGGAATACAGAAAAATACCAAAATGTTCTTATTTTTCACACAGCAAAATGCTTCCCACCGCCATCACTGTAAAAATTACAGAAAAAAACTGAGCATTTTGCCATTGCTTTGGTTCTATGTTTGTGATGCCTAAAATAATCTAATGTAATAATAATATGCTTGGAATTCACAGGCAACATTTCTCCTGAAAATAAAACCCTTAACCAGTTTAATTATACACATTAGACAAAGGGAGACCGTTTTAAATTTCACTTATGATCGTCTTATGATGGCAGGAAATGTGTCTAATACAAAGTTTCTAATGTATTTCATTGTTAAAAAATAAAATTGTTTCAGTTTACATGGCACACAGCAGAGAGCAGCATGTATTGCTTCTAAGTAGGTCAAAACTTTGAGGAAATATCTTAACCCTTGTATGTAGAAATGGGGTCCAACCGACCCCACACACCTAAAACTTGTATCGTTTGCCTCATCCTCACACACACAAGGGTTAAGCACACAGATATAAAAAGCAACTGATACTGAATTATTTAAAAATACAAAAGTTACTGGTAAATTATCTGACAAAAAGCAGAGTCTTTCAAAAAATGCATGAATTTAAGAAATACTTGTGCCTTGCTGAAACTAAAAGATATAAAAACTGTCAGACTATAACTATTGTTAATGCACTTTCTGACATATAACATTTTCAAGGCGTGTGTATATGTATCAGTTTGTTTTCAGAAAAAATGTCTACCAAGATAATATTTTATATACAGCTTAAAAATTAAATAGGATATTTGATTATCTATTTTTCCTGAATCACAAGATGTGTTTCTTGTATTTCTCTTTTAATTAGCTATACCACACTTGCCATCTAAGTAATATGTGTCCATATGTCTTTGAAGCATGTCTCATGGTTTATTGAATGGATTATTTAAAGCTTATAAATTGTACCTTAACCTCTATAAGTCAAGTTGGGCCACACAGATAATCTGGTTATATTTGAAATCTATTTTTTTATACTGTCGCTGACTCTAGTGGACTTTATATGCTGCATATTTACTTTTGGAACAAAGCTTGATGTCATGTTTGTTTGAATTGCTTTCAAGGACTGTTTTGAGTATCAGATGGCACATTTCACATTTTCTGGCACTCTATGATTCTTTTAATGTTTGTGCATATTCTTGGATGCCTATTCAATTGAATAGCTCTCCAGATCTGTGCTCTATTCCGGCTTTGGCTGGGTTTTAACTTTGCAGTCCAGCGCCGTTACCTCATGGTGTAGAGGATGGTTCCGTTTTGCATGATGCGGAACAGCTTGTTTGGAGTGGTCATGTTGTGAGAGATTGACCTCTTGCCATTCCGGAAAAATGTGTCGGGGGTCCAGATTTTGCTGACCATAAGGTTGTTTAGCCGCAGGATCTCAATTGGGCCTTCAAATTTGAGCCGCTCATCAATCCACGTCTGACGAAAGAACACATCCATGGTGTACTCCTGGAAAGGGGTCAAAGTGTTTATTATTACAGGTTTTACTGATACTAACACCATGCATACTGCTGATGCTGCTTCCACCATCTACTATCTTGAGTCATTATTATTTGGTGCCCCAGAGAGAAGGACAGATGGGTATGTGAGCAATGGTTTTTGATGAAAGCAGCTTGATACTATGCTACCAGTGCTGAGTTATTTTCCCACTCATGATTATTATTCATTTTGGGGGAGGGGATACTAGCTGCTATTGCTGAAGGGTTGGGTTATTTAGGCACTTCCAATGAAAAGTTATTTCACGGGGTAATTTTATTTACCACCTTGTTCTTTACTAGTACTGCATTTGAACTCTTTCGCCTTCAGAAATGTCTTAATTTTTCATGCCATTCATTTAACACAGTGTCTCAATCAGTCATCAGAGAGTTTGATAGTTTTGCTGAGTGTGTCAAACAGTTGCCTCATATTCATGATGTGAATTTCCCATTCCCCTGCCAGATGTGGTTACTATCATTTTAGCATGGTGAAATCATTTTCAGCAAACTAGTTTAAGAAGATTTTAACTATGCAATCTGGTCCATTAGACCGATGGAGGTGAAATTCAAAAGACGGTACGTTGAAGAGATGCACATTGTCAGCTTAAGCATTACTCCTTAGTCCTAAGAAATCCCAAGAGTCCAGAAACTATCCCCCAAACACAGGCAGGATGGATTCTTGCTTTCATGTTATGTGTTCCAACCCAAAATGTCACATCTTAATCTTGAAACAAAGTTTTATGGGACTGTGAAAATTGTAGCAAATGTTTCCTGTTCTTACCTGACAGGAGTTAAAGGTGTAGAAGTCTGCTGCTGATGAAGCCCATCTGCCTCAATGTTTAACATGTGCTATATTTGGAGCTACTGTTCCCTTTCTATCATCTTGAACCAGCCCATTTTCCTATGGCTTCTTGTGTCAGCAAAGAATTTTGTCCACCAGATCACCGCTTAAAGGATGTTTTCTCTTTTATACAGTTTTCTGCAAGCATTCCTAACATACTTAGACCAAACTGTTTGGCACCAACATCCACAACACTTTCAAAATCACCTAAATCTCCTTTCTTTCATATTGTGATGCTTGGTTTCAGTTGTCCTCCGCATGCTTAGATGCTTAGTTTTGTCATTCAATTGTCTGATTTGCTAAATCTGATGAACTGCCCAGAAAGGGCTAACATCTTTTGGGAATAAAAATAAAAATAATAACTTTGAAGTCAATAATGCATGTTTTATCAAAGTCAAAGTTTCCACATTTTCATAGGACTGATCTTATTCAGCTTTTAAGAGCTGCTCACATGCTTCACAACACAAATGCCTCCAGCATATTACAGGCTATAGATGCAGTCAACTAGTATCTAAAGCTACAGTGTAGAGCACAAAAGACATATATCAGTCAGCCTATCCCATGCCAGGAGTAGCCAGCCTATCATGTCCCAACATCAGCCACATCAATCTCTCTCTGGAAGGATGGAGTGGAGGGTGAGGGAGGTGGGGGGTAGAGGGGATTGCCAACCAGATTAAAATCCTAAGCTGTACTAATGACATCCTGCTCAAATGCCTCAATAATGAAGGATGAGAGAGCTATAAGTTAAGACATATATGCTTTGATTCACTAGGAAAACAGTATATTTGCATACAGCTGTTTAAATCAATACATTTGCAAATTGAAAATTAGAGTTTAACCAGGTTTACATACCATCTCTACATCTGAAACTGGACCAAAGCTGGTGACAAAGATGTCAGTTTTGACCTCCGTGACGGGACCTACAGCAGAAGTATAAGTTGTTGTTCTGACTTTGAATCAAACTATGTAATGTTCCTCAATATCTAAGAAAAAGTTACAATCAAACTTTCATTTTAAAATATATAAATGACAACTTCAAAAATTAGCAGAAATTTCAAAGATCAAGCAAAAATACAGTTGAAATCTAGGGATGATGTATCAGCTGTACCAGCACTAAACAGAAGATTAAATACACACGCACTGGAGTGAAACTATCCTCTGAGAAAAAATAAAATAATCCAAACTGTTAACTGCAAGCAACTGACATGCAAGTCAATAATAGAAATCTGTTTATACCTCCAAATCCAGGTCGCAGCCTGTTGTCATAGCCATCCAGTAATCTATCCAATATACGCGTGATATTATCCAAATAAATACTGGTTTCACTGTGTTGCGTCTCACAAACAGTACTCGCACTGAAAGTAGATCAACACACACAGATCATTCAATTAGCTATTAAATCATAGCAAGAGTGTACAGTATCTTTGTGCACAATATGACTGCGTTGCCATGCGTAAAGAAGTCAGCCAACAATGCAGAGAAAGAGTTGCCACACTTACCAAAACAGGAACAAGCTCGTTAAAACGAAAGCCATGCCTCGCAAAGACCCGATCGACATGTTGCATTATTTTAGAAGCATGATTGTTTGCGGATTTGAGTCCTTCCTTTTATTTGGAAACAGTGCGAGGAGATCGCGCCAGTCCAGCACGACTTGACTTTCCCTCTAGTGCGGTTGCGCCCGCCTCAGCCTGAATTGCTCAGCTGGAAAAGCCTAAAGAGTTTTCAAGAGAGTGAAGAGGAGGGGGAGTAACAGGGGAGCGAGAAAGGGGGGTGGATTTTTGAGTTTTTATTTTATTATTATTATTTTTATTTATTTATTTATTTTTATAGGAGACACACAGGTTTCGAGTGTTAGTGGAACAGAAATCGATAGTGCGTTCAATTGAAGGAAATGATGGTTATTGCCATTTTGATTAAGAAGGTTGGAAAGAACGAAGCGCTGGGAAGAAACCGAGAGAGAGGAGGGAAATGTGAAGGAGATCTTACACGTCAACTGCAGGAACAGTTTCAACCGAAGTCATTCTAAAGCCCCTTTGCTAAACAGTGTAATTTCTGTACGCACCACTGCTGCCTCTCAGCCTTTATACTGTATGCCTGCCCTTTACATGAAAGAGAAGCAAAAACAAAAAAGACAAGAAAAAAAAACATGAAAATTTAGAAAAGTATGATTCACATGGTGGTTCTGTGGTTGAGTGGAGTGGGTGGTAGGTACATTTGGTGCACTATGAAACTCCATAGACCAGGAGCAAGGGGACACAGCATCCAACCAAACTGAGGAATTACCACAAAGTACATTTTTTGTGAGCGTAACCTCAACACAGCTGAATAAATGAGTCCTTCCTTTTATTCCATTGTGCTCTTTGATTTGCTTTCAGCAGAGACCAGCATTGTTGTCTGTTCAGGCACCAGAGCCGTTCTCTAGCTATGTGGGGCCCCAAAGAAAACGTGATTGGGGGCTTTGAAACTGTGACGTCCAGTCAGGGGAAGCCTCACATGTCATCATGTTAAATACTAACAATAAGAGGAAATCAATCTGTCCACTTGACAGTTCTTTGAATTAGTTTTCTGCATTATTTCGAAATGTTTATGTTTTAAATTATTGAATTTGTGCATTGCCTGTTAAAATAAATGGTAGTAGTGAAGTAATGTAGCGCTGTGCCTGAACTCTAGTTGGGTGAGGCAGAAAGTATTGTACCACACTGATAGGGGGCGATGCTGCGCCCCAACCGCACAGTTACCAGTTGCTCTTATGCATGGAAAAAAAAAAAAAAAAACTATAAACAACCAGAAAAATACAGTCTTATCATATTGTTCAACAGTATGAAATTGATTAATGCATACTTTATAGCTGTTTAAATTGAAGTTAAAATATACAAATAAGCTTTTATTTTATATTTTTATATATACTCAAGAGGAGTCAGTGCCTCACCATGAAACTCATCACACATCACAGCTTTGGAGCTACCATTAGCCACCACTTTCATTTCAATTTCATTTAAGTACAACCAACTAAGGCTGAGGTCATGGAAGCACGGTAAGCTCTTTCTAGAAACTTGACCTGAGCTTTGCTTTGGTGGTCCATTATATTGTTCTGGTTCATAACAAGAACAAGTCAATATTTCAACAAACTTGTACCATGGGTTCAATGTGTGGAAAGAAAATATGACCTTAACCACACCACCAGCCAGAACCATCTACGCAGAGCAGGATGGATCCACACAATAATGTTGTTTAAGTCAACAGCTGAAAATTAGACTCATCAAACCAGGCTATGTTTTTCTAATCTGTTATTAGTTTGGTGAGCTGCTGTTAACTGAAGTCTTAGCTTTCTGTTCTGAGCTAACAGCAGTGTATGCTGTGTGGTTTATGCTACTGTAGCCCATCTGCTTCAGGGTCTAGTGGCATTGATGCAGCAAGTGATTAAGTTTCTGTAGAACTACGTCATCAGCCAGACAAGCAATTCTGTTCACTGTTCTCTTACATTAGCACAAACTTTTCACTGGATATTTTCTCTTTTTGAACCATTGTAAAACGGAGATGGTTGTGAGTGGAAATCCCTGTACATCAGCAGTTTCTAAAATAATAAGCCGAGGCTCTCTTGCTGTTCAAACTCACTCACATCCTTTCTTCTAAATTGTGATGATCTGTCTGAACTCCAGATAATTCTCTTTACCATGCAGAAATGTTTGAATGCATTGTCGATTAATTTACTTTATTTCAAGGGGAAAATGTACAACTCCAAAATAAAGTCAAGCTTTAATCTGCAGTTTCACACTATATTTTTTAGCTATATTAATATTCTTAAAAATTTACTGTGAGTTAACAACCAGTTAAGCATCTGTACCTAACTGTTAAATACACAACCCAGTTTAACAGTTTGGTTAAAAAAAAAAAAATCAAAGGTTAAAAAACCTAAATAATACTGTTCTTGACTGACATTTATTGCACTTCTACAAATAATGAGGAAGGAGATTAATCACAACACCTTCAGTAAGCAAAACTTCAACCTGGAGCAGAAAAGAGCAGATTTCCTGAAACAGAGAAAAAAGGAGCATCAAATGTTCTCTGTACAATGTTAGCAAGTTTCTGTAGCCTTGTGTCTTGAGTGATCAATGACCTAGAATACATTCTGTCTTTTAGCTATACATTACTTTTTCATTATAAGGGATATCATAGTCATAGCATCAATAATTCATATAAGGGAGAAAAATATAGGATTTTGCTGTGGCAGGATGAAAATGTGAAGACTGATTGCACAATAAAATCCCTCAACTCTTGTCTTCTTTTCTCCTTAAGCCATGACTTCCACAATGTCCTTAAAATATTACTTGAATAAAATGCAAACAATGGCGGATTAGATTTGCATATGACAGAATTAGGTTAAACATCATGGGTGGATCTGGTTTAATGATTTAAATTGCCTCTTAGGTTTTAAACAATGTTTGGGTTTTATACAGTTCACAGCATAGACATGTGTTCAAAGGAGTTGTGATGAAACAGGCTTATACGGTGCAATGTGTAAACAACATTTACTTGCCAGTAGACATATTAGGCATGCCAGCAGTTAAAAATGTTTCCTAAATTTATGTCGAACCCACAATCCAGAAGTTATAGTTATTGTCATATTACAGGAATTGCAGTATAAATTTTTATTAGAAGTAGATCAGTGTCAATTTTTGAATCTCTTTTGGATGGTTGACAGTGTCCTCTGACCTTGGTGTTTTTATCATCTTGATCCCATTGGATCGTCCGTCCCATCACAGTGTGCTGCCCATGACAGGCTTCTGGTCTCATTTGTTTTTGTGCCACAGAATGGGATTGTGGATGATCCTTGGGCTTGGAGAAAATCTCATTTCGCCTGTTTCTCATGGATTGAATATGCTTCATGTGTTTCTGAAATGGGTTTGATAACTGATGGGTTCACATGAACAAGGGAAAAACACAAACACACACAGTGTTGCATGATACCAATTGTTGCTGTAATCCCTTAATCCATAGTAGATGACTTTATGTTGCTATGGACACACCCACAATGATGGTAATAAAATGCTTGTTTAGATATTAATGTACTTTATTCTTTAGAATGAAATACTTTAGACACGTTACTTGGCTGAATGGGTTTGCCAGAAGCTACAACACTATGCTTAATCCCACACATGGTACATATTATACAGGTATCTAACCTACCTAAATGTCCCACTGTAAATTTGCATGTAGAGGAAATAAACTGACACATCCACGTGTCAGTTTCTTTCCCACACATGCAAATTTACAGTTTCTTGCAAAGGTGTTCATACACCTTTAAATTTTTCATATTTCTCACATTGCAACCACAGACTTCTTTGCATATAATTGTGATTGTTTTGTGACAGCCCAAAGCCACATAGTGAATTACTGTGAGGTGGAAGGAAACTGACACATGGTTTACAAAATGTTTTTACAAATTAAAATCAGGAATGTGTCTCATTTGCATATATTTTCTTCTTTTGATGCTCCAACATAATAGCCAGTGAAACCAACTTGATTCTTAAGTCACATATTTAGCAAACAGAGTCCATTTGTGATTTGTGGGTGATTTAATCTCAGAATAAATACAGGTCCTTTCCCTGGTGTTTTTTGAGAGAGAGTGAAAAAACAATCCAAACAATCAAGAATAAAGCTGTAAAGAAATTTAATAAAATTCTCAAAGTTCTGGTCAGTCCATAAACTTAAGTTCAAGAATTGTCTGAAGTCTCTTTATTGAAGTGTTTTAAGAGCAAAACCATTATTAAATGATATACATATATGACATCAATTTTAAAGTCAGCCAAATTCAATTTAGGGAACTGAGAACACATGTTAAAAATCATATGAAAGAGTGCAAAAACTGTGGAAGAGTTTCACCTCCTAGCTTGACATCAACCCTAACAACACACTAGGAACCACAATAGAAAAATGTAGTTTAAAGCATATGGATGTGCTGGTAAGGTCTATTCAAAATTCAAACCTAAATCCAGCTGAGAGTCTTGAGCTTTATCTGCAATTATTTTAATATGCAAAACTGGTAGAGACAAACTTAAAATTGCTAAAGTGAAAAAATAAAAAATAAATGTATCACTTTCCTAGTACTTCAGAGTTTGTGTTGGTATTTCACATAAAATCATAATAAATAAAATTAAAGTTTAAGATTGCAATGCGCCAAAATATAAAACGTTGCAGGCTTATGACTATTTTGCAAGTCACTGTAGTCTGTCTGATTGCTTGGTTGACTGGTTTGTTAAGTGGCTGATTTCTAAAAGACTAGTAAGTGTTTCCTCTGTGGTAATCTAAAGTACAGACAACTACAAGAATCCAATACTTGACTTAATGACTGGATCAATGGCAATCTTTACACTCCATCCTGGACCATGCTCTGTCAGGCATCAAACCTCCACAGTAAGTGGTGCAAGGAAAGGAGAAGTAAATGTTTTGACTGACTGTATTGGGAGGCGGCTAAGTGCAGGTTGTTAGACATTAAGTCTAGATCCTGAAAGCTAGTAGCAGTAACAGTGAGCTCCGGCTTTATTGATTATCCTGCTACACCAAGTGCAGTCTTGATATTTCACTACTTCCTTTTGGTGCGGTTCAGGCTTCCATTGTAAATGGTCATTAGGTTTTTAAAAACCCAGTTCAGTGAATAATTCTAAATAATGGGGGGTCATTACCTCCTGCAGATAATATTT